TCGCCTTCTGTGACTATTTGAGACTGTAATTTCAAAAAGTTATGGGCTTGCACTTGGCATTGGATCCTCATGTCAGATCAGTCCCCAGGCTGTGTGAGCTGTGTGCTCCCTGGGGGGATGAGAGTGCAAAGGAATGGCCATCCTTGCAGACCAGACTGCAGAGGAGCTGCACAGCGGTGGCTGGCTGTGGCCACACTGTCCTGTCATGGTGCTCTTCACTGCAGGGTCATGGGTTGGTCATCAGGGATCTCCCCAGCTCGCCCAGAACCTGTCCTGTTCCACCATTACTCCACTGAGCGTTTGAGTCAGAGCAGTGCTTTAAACCTGCATGATCTGTCTGATCCTGTGACGTTTTATGGATGATACAAGAGGGCAGACTGGGTTCTGGTTGGTTTGTTTTGGTGTCTTTTGTTCTTAGAACTCCCTCTAAGACCTCTGAAAATTCATGCACCTGAAAGTAACTTTTGCATTCCTTTTCTAATGGCACTTTATACAGAAGGTTTGTGAACTGGAAAATTATGCATTTGTGTTTGCTTATCATCAAATAAAGAGGAGGTTAATTTTGTTGTCCTCTCCAGAAGGCAATCTGATGAATACATAACTAGTTCTGACTTGTTTTCCTTCTTATATCTTTTGTATTAAAATTTTATGAATCGAAGAGCAGTAGGTTCCTATTTGCTTATCTCCTTGATGCACATACTGAATCCTGAAGGCATTTTGCCCACTTACACTAAATTATCTAGGGTTTATTGTGGAATTTTTGTGTATGTGTGATTCTGCAGCTCTGCTTTAGTTCTAGCTTATATTACAATTCTTATTAGTGTGCATTTACTTCCTGTTTCTTAGCACACATTTTCTGTTTCAGAAACACATGGTATTTAAAAAGTCTTCTGTCTGTGCACTGGCAATTTAGAGAATGTACCACTTGTTTTGAGGTAATTTCTTGATTACAGTTTTCAAAATATTGATAAACTATTGAAAACACTATTTGTTGTGTGCATCTCAAGTTCAAACCCCTCAGCAAGACAGAAAGTGAAGTATTTTCAGGCAATCTTTACACACACCCCACTTCTGTGATGCAGATTCAGGCTGATATCACCATTGAGGGAACTGCCTAGTTAATGGTGTCCACATATTCTGCAGTTTCTAGTGTTAATTCAATATATATAATCCCTGTCCTACATCCTAATATTCATTTGTCTTTTTCCCCACTTCTGTTTAAATTTTTGAGCTTAAGGCTGGAGAACAGCTCTAGGGAGAAGGATTGGGGGTCTTGGGGGGCAACAAGCTCTCTGTGAGCCAGCAGTGCCCTGGAGGATATAAAGGCCAATGATTAGAGGATGATTAAAAGTTGATGAGGGGATAGAAGCACCTCATTCTGAGGAAAGACTGAGGGAGCTGGGCCTGCTCATCCTGGAGCAGAGACACTGAGAGGGAACCTCACCAATGTCTGTCAGTGTCTGCAGGGAGGGCTCAGAGCATGGACCAGGCAATGGCACAAGGGGACACAAGGGGCAGGAACTGAGGCTCAGGAAGTTCCGCCTGAACATCAGGAAGAGGTTCCTTACAGTGCAGGTGGTAGAGCACTGAAATAAATTGCCCAGAGAAGGTGTGAATTCTCCCTCACTGGGGATGTTCAAGAACTGTCTGGCCACACTCCTGTGCCATCTGTGCTCTGCCATGACACTGCTTGAGCAGGGAGGTTTGACCAGGTCACCCACTGTGGCCCATTCCAGCCTGATCTATTCTGTGAGTTTGTAATTTTTCTTAAATATTATTTCTTTCTGTTAACAGGAATGTTTTTTCTTTGCTCTCTATTCATACACCATGCTGTGGAAACTTTTATTATCTCACCTTGCTACCTGACAGGGAGAGAAGGATTTACCAATGGAAAGGTTTTTATGTGACAGACTGATTTAAAAAGCTCTTGTAAACAAACCTTTGACAGATAACTACAAACCAAGTGCAATGTTTTACTGCACTGAGCAGCACCTATTAAAGATTGCTTTCAAATGGTGAAAATGTAACATATAAACAAATTATCAGAGTTCAATAGGCAAGAGGCAACTTGAATGGGAGTGGGAAAGTACAATTAATTATCATCTGTATGGTCTCCAAGCATATTTTTGGCTCTGTGTTGGGACCCTGAGTGAGCACAAAAGAAATTCTTAGTCCTTCTTCTGTAGGGATCCCCTCAAAGACCCAACACCCCACAGAGGTGTCTTCATTTTTCTTGGTTTCTCAGCATCCAAACCTATTACGCATTAAAAGGGCAGGTGAGGGAGAAATTCTGGTGCTGAGCCACCAGAACAATCTGGTCAGAGAGGTGCTGGATTCATAATCTCTGGCAACATTCAAAGTCAGGTTTGTGGGGCTCTGGGCAACCTGGTGTGGTTGAAGATGTCCCTGCTTGCTGAAGAAGGGTTGGACTAGGAGGGATTTAAAGGTCCCTAACAACCCAAATTATTCTATAACTCCATAAAATGTAGTGTCCCCACGAAGAATCTCACTGATATGGAAATTTTGACACAGACTACTTGAGTGGAAAGGACACAATACAAATTTTTAATGGGGGCTTGCTGTACCAAAATGATAATACAACATAAACAGAGGCTGATGAAAAAAATGGAGAAAAATATTCCAGTATCTGGCAGGGAAAAAAAAAAAAAAGCAGAATCCAAGCCCTGAATCCAAGCCCTTTTAGGTGTGTAAAAAGTCATGACATCTAACAGGCTATTCATTTTGCCTTTGGAAAGACGAGGTGATAATATTTTATTCTAAATATTTAGAATATCCCAGTCACCACAGAGCTAAGGTACAATGCCAGTTGTCTGCCATGTTTCATTAAGGTTTCTTGAAAAATACCAGAAAATCATGCAGGTGGTTCTTGCACAAGGGGAAAGAGTAGTCTTGCAAATTAGGCTAAGCTGCTAAGGGGACTTTTCAAAGACCATGCTTTCCAAAACCAAGGACAGCCCTTGCAGTGAGCCAAGAAAAGGAGGTTGCAAAAGGTCTGCATGGTTGCACAAGGAGGTCCCAACAAAAACAGAAAAAAGAAGTACACAATACATGAAGGCAGGGTCTGAGCTTCCTGTAAGAGCCGGATGGAGAGATGGAGGCTTCAGAGGCTTTCAAGATGCTGTTTATTGCATGGACAAAGTTTACAATAGTTGAGGGTCGTGGGTGAGCCTATAGTTGCTGGCTATAGGCAAGCTCTGCGTCCTGAAGCTCTGTTCCATTCATGTTACAAAGCATTATATTTCTTTCTTTGCTGTGCATCTTATTACATAACAACCAATCAATACCTTTACTATCACCTATAGCCTGTCCTAACTACCAACATTACCATATGCTACCATTTTCCAATCACAAAAAGTTTGTATGTTACAGTTTAAGCTAGAAGTTGTTTTTCAGTTTTCTTGCAGTGGAAAATTCTGAGATCTTTCCTCTACTTGCAACCTTGGTTTTCTTGTTTGACTGTGAAAATCTTTTTGCTTGGTAAAAACATCTTTTGTTTGCTCAGAGTCATAAAAGCCCCTTCCTACTCACTTGCCCTTTGCCTTCTTAGTTACCCAGTAAGACTGGCTCAGCTATTCTTTTCTTCTATAGCAAAACTTGCTATAATTTCTATTCTTTCTTTAAATTCTACATTCAAAAATCTTTCTATTATACATACATATCTGTGAGACCTTCCTGTCAAATCCTTATCCTTCCCAACAGCTTCCCAGAACCAGAGGGACACGAGCACACTGGAGAGAGACCAGCACAGGGCTACAAAGATGATTAAGGAACTGGAGGATCAACTCTGACACAGGTTGCCCAGAGAGGCTGTGGAGTTTCCATGCTCAGAGATACTCAAAACCCAGATGAACAACTTCCCTATCAACCTGTTCTAGTCAGCTGCTTTGAGACTAGATGATCTCCAGAGGTTCCTTCCTCCCTCAGACACCCCCTCGGTTCTGTGGTCCCACTACAAGATCACTGTATTCATTTACTTGAGGCATAGGCAGTATTTAGACAGTTTTACTCGTTATCACTTTCACAGAGGCAGGAATTACTGAAAACAAAGGGTGGCAGCTGAGCAAAGCCCAAGGGCACTGCACTACCCTTCACCATTATAAAATGGAGACCTCAAGCCTGCTCAGATTTCAATTTAAATTGTTCCGAAAGAGCACTATTAAAACAAAAATAGACTCCTCGGTGGACAATTCTCTTCACTTGTCCAGTTCTCATGATCTTTTTGGAAATTAATAGCCTTCATTTTAACCTTGACTGCACAAGAGAATTGCTCTCTTTAAAGCTGAACCACTGGAAGTACAAACAGCCCACAGCATCCAGGGTAGCCTTGCCAAATTGCTTGCAGCTTTGTTCCGTGTCTGCACCAGCTCCACTCCGAGCCACAGTGACCCAAGTGGGCATGGCAGGCTGGGAATGCACCTGGGAACAACACATTCTCTGAGGCTCGTAAAGATCAATAGTGCCCTGAAAGACAGCCAAATGAATAAAAGCAATTTATCAGGAACAATAGAACTTCAATTCATACTGCCTGCATTGCCCAACCTACTGAAACACGGCCCATCCTATTTCATGTTCCTAAACTCTTAATGTATAAAAGTGAGACAGTCCTTTAGGAAGCTTCAGAATGGATTAATACATCAAATAATGGGTGAACATTTAACCCATCAGCTGTCAGATTTCCAGACATGTATCCTGAAGCAACACCACATAAAGGAATCTTGTTGCTTCAGTGATTTACTTCTGTCAGGTAGAAAAGGGCAAACAGATGTAAATGCACAGCTCCTGATGCTATAGGAACAAATTGATACGTAAGATTTACAGCCACTCTTTCAGGCAGAGCCATGAAGCCAGTGCACCTGGCTCCCAGTACCAGACATCCTTCTTAATTTATTCAAAATAATCAAATTTTGTACAAAATGTGTAAAACATCTTCACACGCACACAAGCAATTACCAATCATCTCTTAAATCATCTGGAGTTCTCTAATCATGGCAGTGCAAGTCCTGCTTTTATTTCTGAAGGCCCGTAATGAGACCTTTAGAAAGGTCAGAGCCAAAAGTCTCTGAGAGCTCCAAAATAACAATTCTTCTGTTCATGTAAGTGACAGGGGTTTTTTCCCTTTCAGTAGTACATCAGGCATGTGTTTCCACAGTATTGGTTCAGTCGAGAGCAACATCCATTTTCACATTGTCTCATTAGTCTGACTACTTTCTTCTAGCTTGGAATGAGAATTCTGTAAGTCTAGTGCTGGAAATTATTATATACTTGAGACAAAGTGAAAATAGTGCTGTTAGTAGAAACTTTCTGTAGGCACTTTGTAACCATATTGACGGTCCAGCACAGCTGATATAATTGTACATGGGTAAATGTTTCAATGCTATTTTGTTTATTAATATATTTGTTCACAGGAGAAGCATGGGGACATTAACAATAAATAAAATGCTAGATATTATGAGGGAAAATATATTTGTGTTTCATAAAGTTTCACCAGTGCTGTAAAGCAGGGTTCTTTATTTATCTGACTCCATCTTATTCATTTATTTGAACATACTTCAACACTGCTGGGAAACAGTTGCCTGCCTTAGCAATGCTCACGAATTCTGAGTCCTTGCTAAGCAGGCTCCCCTTGGGAGTGGCAGCGCAAGACATTTCACAGGTCTGAAATGCACCTCTCAGCCTATGCATCTCCCCAGCCACTTTCAGAACCTCATCCACAGCCCTGAATTCATGTTCTCACATTGTAAGCTATCAAAGCTTCCACGTGGATATTTAACTAAGACAAAAGGTTTGCATAGACTAAATCAAGTGTTTAATCATATGAGTGCTTGCATATTTTACTCTGTCCTTGTCCTTTCCTGCCTAGGATTTTAAAGAGAACAAAACCACAACTGGCAAATGTCAAGGACTAAAGTAGATTTAGGAGGAAGAAAATCTGAAATTCCATGAAAGACTACTCATCACCATGATTCTGTGCTCATTTCACTCAGAAACACAGATTTTGACAGAACCAGGTCTCCAGGCTTCTCTTTCTCAGGTCAACCTATGCCATGCAAAGAACGCATGGCTAGGGAGTAGAAATTCATGCTTTTGTGACAAGGTGCTTAAATATTTAGTGAACTTTAAAATGCCTCAGTTCCTTAAAGAAACTGCATCTCATCCACATGCAGATGCAGCAGGACCTCTGCAAACTGGCGCAGAGAGCCCTCACCACCACATGTGTGAGCAGAGAGGCTTCCAGAGCAGGAAGGGAAGATGCTGTCTCAGGTCCCTCTGCAGATCAGGCATTTTTCTTGTTCAACATGCATTTGTGCTCTCTAGAGTGCATCTCTCATTACCATTTTAAACAAAAATATACCCAGACCATCTCACTAGAACTGCCTCCTCCTAAAAACAATCCTCCACCAATGCAGCAAGACTGCACCACCATCTGTGGTGGTTTGCTGCCTGTCATGTGTTGTAGAGATTCTTGAGCTCTGAAGAACTCATCTACCACACATGCAAAAAAAATCTTTCCAAAAGACATAAGACAACAGAAAACAATGCTACAAATACAAATCTTTGGGGGGGTCTGCTGATAACACTTAGTTTCCAATTGAGTTTGTGTCTGGTACAAATTCAGACCAAAAGCCACAAGAGCACATGGTGGATGTAGTATTCTGCACTAACTTTTTCATTTCTTCTCAATCTTGGCTTAAAAACTAGGTCCCTGCCTATCTCTCAGTATAACCTAAGCAGCTTCTGACCTTGCAGAAGTCAAATCCCACAGGCATATCTCTGGTCTCACATAGTTTCCGCACCTTCCTTAATGTACACTGCCTCTCACCTCTAAAGATCCTTATTTCAATTTGTGTTGTGAGTCACTTCCTGAGCTCAGACTTCCACGGCATCTCTTTGCTAGAAATGAAATTTTACAAGCTAGAAACCTGAAAATTACACCTGTGTCTTGCAAAACACTTATTTTTCTAAAGCATAAATGCTGCTGATGTGAGACAGACATGTAGATGCTACTCCCATTCTGTTTCAATGCATGATTGTTGAGATTCCTAAGAAACAGGATTTTCTTGGCTACAAAATAGTTATCTGTTAGTGAAAGCCTTGTCTGAGTGGATGATTCTCAAGGCTTGACAGCCTGCTGATTCAGTGCAACATGAAGTCTCAGTGGAGTCTATAGCATGACACAGGACAGCTCTGCAATCAAAATTGCCTTTGCAAAGCAAAATGGAAGTAACAAATTGATACAGCTGCATATAGATTTGTCTCCTAATCTGTCACAGATTTAAAAATAAAAGGGGATTGTATTCTCTTTTACTGTCAACACTTCAGGTACATAATAACACTCTGTTAGAAACGTATTGCATTTAATGGTCCTTACTCTCTCTCCTGTGCTGCAGTGAACTCCCTGCTGTTACCTACGCATGCAGACTCCTGAGCACTGATCCAGCCCTCCAGGCAATGCTTCCAGACCAAAAAAATCCAAGCAGTAATACCTCCTCCATAAAACCTCCTTCCTGGGGGAGTGTCTTTTTAATCAATTCTTGATTTAATATTTACATATTTTACACAGCAAAAGCCCCAATATCCAGAGGTGCCAAGTCCTTGCAGGTCCCACTAGAGCTGTGGTGGCTTAGAACACACCAGGAGAAAAACACCAACTCCCAAAGCTACTGTTATCAAAGATTCCTGCACACCTCCTGCTGCAATGGGGGAATGCCTAATGTGCATTCCATTTGATCTGATGAACATTGCTCATATCAGAAAAGAAGCAGGTTTTCTAGGAATTCCTGATCCCACAAGGTAGACATGCCAGAAGAAGTCCAGAGTGCTGTCACACCCCAGTGCCCAAGAAGCAGCTCCTCTGCCATTCCTTGGGGTTGAAGCAGAGGGAGGCTGAGCAGAGCGAGCAAGCTCTGCTTCACTTAGCAGCTCCCTTCTCAGTGCTCGGGATAAACCCAGAGGAATCTCAGGGACCAATATGGTCCTCTGAACAAACCCTGATGCAGTAGCTTGGCTGGTGTTCTTTCAGAAGTTGCTAACAGCCTTAGAACGCTTATTTCCTTTCCGGAAAATAATGACAAACCAAATCTTTCCTCCCACAGAACTCTTGTCACTGTGATGCAGTTTCCCAAAGCTCTGCTGCACAGCCACAGTAGTTTAAGTATCTCATAAGCTTTCCTTTAAGATATCTCCCAACCTTATCAAGACAATTAAAATTACTATTCCAGTGACACCTCTAAA